CCTGCCTGCCTGATCACCCCTAACTGCCCTCCCCTGCCAGCCTGGTCACTCCTAACTGCCCTCCCCTGCCGGCCTGACCACCCCTAACCACCTCTGCCTTGGCTCCTGCCACCGTGGCTTTGTCCGGATGTCCGGAAGATGTCTGGTCTAATTAGCATATTACTCTTTTATTAGTATAGATGTCACCCCAAGAAATCCAGTTAAAAATTAGCATTTGCTACATGCATAATAAGATTGAACACATTTTCATTTGCTTACTGGCATTTTGGATCGCCTCTTTTATGAAATAACTGCCTGTTTAAGTCTTTTGCCCATTAAACAACAACCACCATCACCATTTATTATTGCTCACGAGTCTTTGGACTGGCTGCTGGGTCAGCTGTTCTGAGCCTACGGGGTCTCACTCGTGCACCTTTGCTCACCTGAGGGTCAGCTGGATTGGTTTGCTGATCTTGGCTGGCTCTCCTATGTCGAAGGTCTCACCTGGGACAACGAGGCTAACTTGTCTCTGCTCCAGGATTGCTCACATGGCAGAGTCAAAGCTCCAAGAGGGAGGGAAAGTGTTAAAGGCATTCAGGGCCCTAGATTTCAAACTGGTACAATGTCACTTCTGCTGCATCCTGTTACTCCAGCTCAGATTTAATGGGACGGAGAAATGGACTCCACCTCTTTTTTTTTTTTAATATATTTTTATTGATTTCAGAAAGGAAGGAAGAGAGAGAGGGGGAAACATCAATGATGAGAGAGAACCATTGACTGGCTGCCTCCTGCACACCCCTTACTGGGGATCGAGCTCTCAACCTGGGCATGTGCCCTTGACTGGAATCGAACCCAGGACCCCCCAGTCCTCAGGCCAACGCTCTATCCACTGAACCAAACCAGGGAGCAGCTGCACAGTCCTGTTGCGAAGGTGGATACAGAAAGGGGTGACAGTTGAGGCCATTTCCGTCATCAACTTATCACAAAGGATTTCTCTTCCTCGAACGATAGGGAGCTGGGCAGTGGAGTGATGACAGGGCCCTGGGCCAGCGTCTGTAGTTCCCTTCATGGTCACAAAGTGGCTGCCCTTGAGCCACACATCACACCCACACATCCATGTTCAAGGCCAGGAAACAGCAGTGTGTGGGGCTGAGAGTTTCCATCTGCAGGGCTAGCTGGGAGGCCAGGGAGGAGGCCGGATGCTGGTCCAGGCAGAAGATGAGGCCTGAGCAGGGGCTGGTGCCATGAGAATGGACAGGAGGGATGAAGAAGAGAAAAGTTGGGGTTGGTGGGGGTGGAGAAGGAATGGAGTTGGGGGCTGATGGGCTATTGGAGGTGTAGGAGGGAGAGGACAATGTTTGGGGTTCAGGCCTGGTGACTGGGAAAGCATTGAAGGTTGGGGGAGGCTATTGAACTCATTGGGGAGCATGATGAGAGTGAGGGGTCTCAGGCACAGGCCGAAGGAACCGGCCCCAGAGGTTCATGAAGAAGAGGTTCTGGTCCATGGGATTACCAAGGGCCCAGGGACTCATGGGAAATGTAGTTTGAGGTCTCTGGGGAGTCTTTCAGAGGCGAATGGCCCCTTCCCCCATTATACAGATGAAGAAACTGAGGCTCGGAAGGTGTTAGTGATCTGCTAAAAGTCCCCCTGGGAGCAAGGAGTGGCCAGCTGACCAGCAGCTAAAGGAGTCTCTCCCCTGCACCCTGTTCCCTGGCTCGGTGTCCTCCCACTTCCCCCATCCCCGTGCCGGCCTCAGCACATCTGGGGTTCCTGGGTCCGTTATCGGGGGCCTCACTGCATGGACTTCACCCTGCATGTGGTGGCCCACGCAGGAGAGGATGGATGAGCAGGGATGCGGAAATCTGAAACAGGAGGAAAAGGCTTTGAGAAGGGAGAGGAGGTGAGCTTGGCTCCGGGTGTCTGGTCTGCAGATCTTGGTGGACCTCTGGGCATGGGAAAGAGGAGCAGGTGTGGGGGACAGTGCTGGGCCCAGTGGGGGAATGTGAGGGGTGTTGGGATCTGGGGGGCTGCTGAGGCCCGCGCCTGAAGCAGGCTGGCGCTCAGGGGACAGGTTGAGCAACACCAAACCTGGGGCAGGTGAGTTTGTCTAGGCAAAGTGTGTGCATGAGAAAGGGAGATGACGACAGAGAAGACAGAGCTTCATGCTTCCGGAGTGTTTCACAGACAGACAGTCAGAGAAGAACATTGAGAAAGACAGAAGGAGAAAGAAAATTCCCGGCCCAGGAGGGAAGGTCAGGTGGGTGGGGATGAGGCCTGAGCTGGGGGTTAAGGCTGTGAGGACAGAGAGGAGGGGTCAGGACAGAGTGCAGGGGGCAGTGGGACAGGGTTTGGGTACTGACAAGCCGGGGGCCGGGGGGCACGGGGCAAAGGAGACACAAGGAGCCAGGACAGTGCCCATGGTTTGACCAAGGAACGGTGGTCAGTAGGTCAGCTCCTAAGTGGAGGATTAGGGGCATACAGTTGAGTGCGGGGGACCTAGTGGGATATAGAAAACTGATGGAGACGCTTTAAAGAACATCAGGCACCCAGCTGCCTTGGCTCAGTGGTTGAGCATCGACCTATGAACCAGGACGTCACAGTTCGATTCCCGATCAGGGTACATGCCCCGGTTTTGAGCTCGATCCCCAGTAGGGGGCGTGCAGGAGGCAGCTGATCAATGATTCTCTCTCATTGTTGATGTTTCTATCTTTGACGCTCCAACCAGTAGGTTAGCTTACTGCTGGGTTCCAGCCAATTGGGACCGAGCGAGATGGGCCTGACATGCCCTGGAGTCCTCCCTCGGCCCCTCCCCAGCTGGCCAACCTCCTGTGTCCCTCTTAGGCCCTGATCATGCACCAGTGGAGTCCCTCGGCCTGGCCTGCGCCCTCCCGTAATCTGGGACCCCTCGGGGGATATCAGAGAGCCAGTTTCAGCCCGATCCCGCAGGCCAGGCCGAGGGACCCCACTGGTGCATGAATTCGTGCACCAGGCCTCTGGTAAATAAAGAAAACACCAGGCACCTTAGTAGAAGCCAAGGATGTGGGGAGCCTGAGTGCTAATGTCTGAGTGAACTGTGGGAGTCGTTTGGGGGTGGGAAAGCAGGAAGAGGGCAGTTGGAGAACAGGACAGCAGCCACGGGATGAGGCCAGGGGACAGGACTCAGGGTGCGCCTCTCCTGACTCTCCCCTTCACGCCTCTCTCCAGGGAGCGCATCCTCTCCGGCAAACTGGTGCGCAGAGCTGAGAAGCGGCTTAAAGAGGTGGTGCTGCAGGTGGAGGAGGAACGGAGGGTGGCCGACCAGCTCAGGGACCAGGTGAGTGGCTAACCTCACTCGGGAGCAGGGGAGCTGGGGACCACTGACAGAAATAGCACATGCTACCTCTGGAGGCAGGGAGTTCCCATCACAAGAGGCAACGTGCAGGTGCTACTGGACTGGAACTAATGCAGATACCATCCGGGGCGTGGGGCCATCACAAAGGGCTGGAGTCAGTGACTTTGTGATCCATAAATATTGAATCTAGGAAAGCTGAGATTTCTGGGAGCTGAGACAGCCAAGGAGAGGGTGGGCCAGGGCTAAAATAACACATACTGTTTATTGAGTGCTTTCGATGAGCCAGGCACTCTGCTAAACACGTACTAGGTGGTCCATTTATTTCTTATCAGAACACTGTGGTAGTATACCGTTGTTTTCCCCTCATGTTCAGATGAGGAAACTGAGACATAGAAAGGTGAAGCAACTTGCTCAGAGGTATTTTGCTAGAAAGAGCTTGAGCGAGGGTTCAAATCCCAGCACAATGGCTGCGAGCTTATGCTCTTAATTATTGAGCAGTTACTGAGTCCCAAGCTCTGTGCTACCTGCTTTTTCTTTTTAAGTTCTTTTTTTTTTTTTAATATATTTTATTGATTCCTCACAGAGAGGAAGGGAGAGGGACAGAGAGAAACATCGATCAGCTGCCTCCTGCACACTCCCCACTGGGGATGTGCCCACAACCAAGGCACATGCCCCTGACTGGAATCGAACCCAGGCCCCTTGAGTCCACAGGCTGACGCTCTATCCACTGAGCCAAACCGGCCAGGGCTTAAGTTCTTTTTTTAAAAGATGTTTTTATTGGCTTTAGAGGGAGGAAGGGAGAGAGATAGAGAGATAGAAATGTTGATGAGAGAGAATCATTGATTGGCTGCCTCCTGCACGCCCTCCACTGGGGATCTGCTACCATAACTGGTAATCAAACCAGTGACCAAGAGGTTCATGAGTTGACGTTCAACCACTGAGCCACTTGCTTTATTTTTAGTGTATTTTTTATTGTTGATAGTTTTACAGATGTCTCCCGTTTCTCCTTTTCCCCCTCTTCCCAGCCCCTTCCCTCCCCCGCACCAGGTCTTCACTACCACTACTTAAATACCACTTTTTAAAAAATACATGCTTGCGTTCTCTCACTAGCCTGATTTCCCAGGTGAAGAAACAAACTTTTAAAGGGGATATAATTTTCATCAAAGTCACAGCCAGTAAAGACAGAGCCTGGATCAGATTTCAGGTGTGTCAGAATCTATATAGCAGTCGCCAACCGGTGGTCCGCAGACCACTGGTGGTCCATGAGGTCCAAAAGGTTGGCGAGGTTGCGTTGGTGGTATAGTGGTGAGCATAGCTGCCTTCCAAAAGGTTGGCGACCACTGCTCTATAAAGTATCACTGGAGATAGAAACGTTGATGAGAGAGAATCATTGATTGGCTGCCCTTAAAAGCTCAGCTGTATTCACCATTCATACCACAGATAATTACTTAGTACCCACTACAAGCTGGGCACTGTGCTAGGCTGTGAATGACACAGAGAAGGTCCCTGCCCTCACAGAGCTCACATTTTCAGCATAGAAAAAGAAAGACACAAGAAATCAATAAACAAGCACAGGTAATTACAGATTGTGACAAAGGCTATGAAGGAAAAAAGAGAATGAAGAGCAAGGGAGACACAGAGGACTGGGGAATCCTCTCTTAGGAGATGACATGTGAATTGATACCTGGAGCTTGAGGAAGAGCCAGGCAGAGGGAACGCCAGGTGAGATGAGATGGGGAGGAATGGAGAGAGATGGGCAGAGGGTATGGTGGTGGGGAAGATTGAGTGATAAGAATGATGCCTGAGAACGAGGACGACACCCAGAGGCATGACCTGGCCTCCTTGCTCCCCCCAAGCTGGAGAAGGGGAACCTTCGAGTGAAGCAGCTGAAGCGGCAGCTGGAGGAGGCTGAGGAAGAGGCATCCAGGGCTCAGGCAGGTCGTCGAAGGCTGCAGCGTGAGCTGGAGGATGTCACAGAGTCTGCTGAGTCCATGAACCGTGAGGTGACCACGTTGAGGAACCGGCTCCGGTATGGCTGCCCTGCACATATACACCCTCACTCCATAAACTCCTGTCCCCCATTTCTCAGTCCCCCCATCACTCTTTGTCCCTTTATATCTCTTTGGTCTTCTGTCCCCATCATTCTCAGTCCCTCTGTCCTCATCTCTGTCTGTCCCTGTGTTCCCCCATTTCTCTCTGCCCCCAGCCTTGCCCTCTGCCCATCTCTCTCCATTCTTCACCATCTCATCTCTCCCCTCTCATTTTATTATATCTCTCTCCACCTCTCGCTATCTCTCACATTTCTGCTGAACTCTCCTTTTGCCCACAGACGCGGGCCCCTCACCTTCACCACCCGCACAGTGCGCCAGGTGTTCCGACTGGAGGAGGGTGTGGCATCAGATGAGGAGGCCGAGGAGGCAGAGCCAGGTTCTGGACCGCAGCCCCAGGAGTCTGATGGGCCCCAGGACGTGCAGCCCCAGTGACCCCTCCCTGTTTCTAGCCATCAGCCCCTCCCTCCCTGGCCCTGGAGGGTGCAGGTCCCATGAACCCACCCTGTGGCTTCTTGCACTTTGGAAATGGTGCCACCTGCTGGCACCACCCACTTATCAACCGCACCCCAGAGGGCCCTCTGAGACCTCCGTAAACGCAGAATAATGGAGAGCCCAGGTGGGGAGCAGGAGGCAAGGACTGGGGCTCTCCCGCTGGAGTGGAAATTCGGGTGTAGTTTGCACACTGTGGACCCATACAGCTCCCATACTTACTTCAGATGTTAATGGTCTTTATTGAGAAAGGAGCATGGCCCCCCTGCCCTCCTCAGCCAGGGCGGGCCATGGCCTCACCCCATCCCCCCCGCCCCCACCCCATCTCCCAGGACTCCCAGCCTTTGATTCCTGCAGAGGAGAGTTCAGTTTTTACGTTTTATGTTCCCATCAATCTGTTGGCGTTTTCTTACGTTTCTCTTTAGAAAACGTAAGAATACAAGTTAATAGAGCTCAGAATGCCCTTCCTTCTGTTGCTATTGTGTGATCACAGTCGGCTCTGGTTAGAGTCCCTGTGGGGGCTGGAGGGGTCTCCCTGACTTTCCAGCCTCCAGCTCTGGCAGAAATAAACTCCAGTCCCAACTGGACTCCTCCCGGGTGGTGTGTGTTCCTGCAGGGGGGTCTCTGGTGGGTCCAGATGGGCACTGACTTGTTCCACCTGCTGGCTCTGATCACAGCTGGCCAGTGGTGGGGGACCTACTGGTACTGGACATTGCCCCACACCCAGCCTCCCTTCAAAGCATTGCCTCCATTATACAGAGGAGGAGGCCGAGGCTCAGAGCTGCACTGCCCCTCACTCTACACCAGGAGAGGCAGGAGGGGTGTTTGCTGTACTCTGGTCTCTGGCTGACTTTCCAGTCTTTGCAAAACAATGACATTGATGACTGCTGAGTCAGTGACCGTGACCCTGACCGTGATCCTGGCCGGCTATTTAGCGGTGCTGAACACCAGACGTTTGTCTCAATTCTCAGCACAACCTCTAGGGTCGAGGATCGCCTTGCTTTCCAGCACCTAGGACAGTGCCTGGCTCCTCGTTGGCTTTCATAATATATTTGCTGAATGACTAGATCATGCCGTCCTGGCCTCTTATTGTTTTAAAACATATTTTTACCAATCTCAGAGAGGAAGGAAGAGATAGAAACATCATTGATCGGCTGCTTCCTGCATGCCCCCCGCTGGGGATCAAGCCCAAAACCCGGGCATGTGCCTTTGACCGGAATGGAACCTGGGACCCTTCAGTCCCCAGGCCACTGCTCTATCCACTGAGCCAAAGCGGCCACGGCCCTTCCTGGCCTTGTAGAGTGGCAAAAGCCCAGCGAGGTCGAGACTTGCCCAAGGACACACAGCTACGAAGTCGAACCCACGCAGACTGTCTTCATGGTCAGGAATATGGAGCGTGCTGCCCTTCGCCTCTGGGCACACTGGGGACCCAGGTCACTCCGATTCTGGGGACTAGTCTCCCTCACTCAGCTCCCATCATCCAGGTGCCCTCAGACTTCCCAGTTAAGGGTGTAGGCAGGCACTCACCCCAAACCACAGAGTGAGAGCCGGTGTTCAAGGGGATTTCTGGGCCCCCAGAATGCACACCCATGCATGCCGCTTTCCAGTGGTTCTCAACCTTCTGGCCCTTTAAGTACAGTTCCTCATGTTGTGACCCAACCATAACATTATTTTCGTTGCTACTTCATAACTGTAATATTGCTACTGTTATGAATCGTCATGTAAATATCTGTTAGGCAGGATGGTCTTAGGCGACCCCTGTGAAAGGGTCGTTCGACCCCCACCCCAGAGGGGTCGCGACCCACAGGTTGCGAACCGCTGCATCCGACCCCATGTCTTGAAGACCCAATCCCTCTGTGGACCCCCAAAAGCTCCCCAACCCTCCCCGGGACACACACACACACACAGGACGCAGCTTTTAAATGAAAAGGAAACTTTAATCTTGGTGGGGAATGAGAGGGCGGGTGGAAGGGGGCATGACACTTTTTCTTTTGGGGGGTGACATGCGACAGCTTCTGCATCGGGCGGTTCATGCACCCAGGGTGGGCGTGGGGGAGGCTTGGGGGAGGGGCCTGCCGACCCCTCCCTCCCTGCCCTGGGGGT